GAACCCAATTTAAAGCACTATTAGACATTTATTTATGCGAATCCTCGCGCTGGCAAGCATACTGCCCCGCGCAGAGAACATAAAGAGCAGTGCTACACCCTTTTTTCACTTGTGCCTTTCAGGTGAACGACAGCCACTGACTGACAAGAACAAAACCGACCCGGGAAACTTGGGCAAAAGCCTCGATCCTGTGTATCAATCCGTGAATCCGTGATATTCAGCCGCAGCCTTTTCGTCACATTGATTCTTTTCTGGGCATAACAAGAAACGGCTTCTAACCTACGGTGGGGGACATTCGTCGAATCTTGTGCAAGATCAGCCCATTCTGCGCGTTTAGGCCCGACGTGGCCCATACAAGGATCCTGAAAAAATAGTTGGCCGCATTGGCAAACTATTTTAACCTGATGTTTCCTCAATCGATTCACAATGGCCGCCTTTCTTCTGATTGAAGAAAGCAACTGCCATGCCAGCTACCGACTGGTAGCTACAAGCCTACAAGCTTTACTTGCGTGTCACGCAAAGTGATGGAATGGATTCTGAAGCGAGTCATCCTAGATCACCCTATGTCCAAAAACTTGATACCTCTCGCTCAACACGGAGTTCTCCCAAGCCGTTCTTGCGTGACAAACGTGCTCCTGTTTATGAACAGCTTAACCCAAACAAAGGAATAGGAACTCATATCGGATGCCATATTTTCCGAGTTCTTGAAGGATTTGATAGGGACCTACACGTCCCGTTTCTTTACAAACTCGAGTCTTACAGGACTGGAGGAAAAATCCTACACTGGATCAGAGCGCTCCTATCAGACAGAAGATTCTGAGTAGCAGCACACTCGACGCACTCTTTTCCAGCGCAGATCACCATCTGTGTTTCTCAAAGACCCGTTTCGTTTTTGATATGCATCAACCACCTTTTCTTGAAAGTCCATTTCTACCTTGTGCGGAGGACTTGAAATCCTGGATTTTCAACGTTAGCGCCCTTCACATGGATGTAGACGCTGCAAAGCGGTGGTCGTTGGAGAGGCCCCTTTCTGCGAATGACGAAATGTGCGTCCACATGTCATTTAAAGGTGACTCAGCGAATGCGTCTGTCAAAAATGTTGGGAAAAAACCAGAAGACATCACGAGGATAGATGGCGAAAGCGATTTAGGTATCTGCCCTTTTCAAACTCATCCTTTTTGCTGCACCATAAAAATGGCCCAAAGGGCATCCACAGTGCTACGGATGGTTCGGCACAACTTCTCTTGTATTACGCGCGTGGACTTTCAAATATTCCATTCTACGTCAGACCGCGTTTGGAAAATGTCACTTCGTCTATTCAGGACGCAAGGAACGCGTATCTCTCATGGAGCCTGTCCTTCCAGCAGCTAAGTAAATGGCTGCCGGCCTTTAATCGGTGTACCACAAAACGCACCTTGCCGTGCTTGAACTCTGTGTATCGTCGCCTCCAAGTGGATCTAATTCCTACTTATTACCTGATGCAACGGCTTGGCAAACAAGCTTTTTCACCGTTCACCCTGCAAACACACCTCTAGGACACGGACGGGAGATTTTCAAGCTCAGAGAGCACACTTTCATTAGGCACATTTTTTTCTTCTCGGGTATTCGCTGCTCTCTCCAAAGGTTGTTCACGTTTCCGCCTGGAACCCAGTTCAAAGCGCTGGAAACTTAAAGAGCAGTGCCACACTCTTTCCGAACTTGTGGCTTTCAGGTGAACGACATCGGCTAACGTGAACAAGAAAACCAATCCATGAATACAGAAAAAAGGCTTGATCCTCTGTATCATTCTGCAAGTCCGTGGGTAATGGTGGAAGATGCCGAATGTTTAAACACGAGAGTATGAAAAATGAAACGGAAAATGTCTACCGAAAATATGAATGTAGAGTTCTATGCTGTTGAGTTCTTGCTGGGGTAGTAAATTGTTAGAGATTTACGTTTGTTTTATATCGACGGTAAACGTTAATAAACCAAAGATTCATTCTTATTTGAACATATGATTATGTGGAGAATTTTTGGCACGATGAGGCGAAGTAGGAAGCATTATAGCAAAAATATCTAAGGTTTTGATACCCACTATTTGGAAGCTGCACGTTGATCTCATACGTCGCAGGACATTCCATGATATTCATGGTTCACCACAGAATGGATGAAGAAACGTTTGACATCATATTCATTTTATCAGTTTTGTAAGGCATTCCTGTTTCATTGCTAAACAGTTTGTTTACTTCAGCCATAGGGACAAAACACGCTAACGTGGCGATGAAAGTCACTAGTTGTTGTAAAGTCGTGCGACTAAAGGTTGCGAAAAAATAGCTTCAAATTTTCTCCACGCATTGGCCGGCAACGTTACTTGAATTAATTTTGCAGCATTTTATCTATTTATAAATGTATTATTTAAATGGTATTTTTAAAGCCCCGTCTGCGTTTGTAATTGTAATTCCTTTTGGACCATGGGCATTTTGAGATGCAAGCTGCATCACATTTCACTCAACGTATGGGTAGAATAAAGCAAAACTTACCGGTTGTATAACAGGTTTCCACTGAATTGCAATTACAAAGGCATCCCGCTCAGCGGTATAAATGTTTTTACTAAATACTTGCAAAAACGTTGTGCGTCTTATGAGTCTACTATGTTTTCGCTGCGAAAAATCATCCACGTATTTCGGCAAGCGACCTTAAATTGTAGATTTTACTTGTTCACAAAATTATAACCAGACAGCTGTCTAGTGGGCGCATTTACTTACTAAATTCCGTGATGCCAAAAAGATCACTGATTTGAATGAAAACTCTAAGCCTTTGCCGTCTCAAAATAATACCCGCCGGGTAGCTCACTCCAATATTTACTTATGTATAACTTTCATGCAAAATGTTGAGAAAGCCTTCACAGCGCAACCGCCTCTCGCGTTGTGTAACCTATTGAGTGTTCANAAGTTGCGACCAACAGGTTAAATGCCCGCATCGAAATTGTTCGGTCTTATTTATCATGAAATATACCATTCGCGACTTCACGGACTGGTGTAAAAAACCTTACCACTCCAAACATTAGCCCAATCATAGGCTCTTTTCAACTGATACGTCTATGCAAAAATGGTTCAG